CATTTTACAAAAGAGAAACCGGAAGTTGAGCTTTGCCCAGCATCTTCTGGTTCGTGGAAGATGGAGCCAGGGCTTGAAGTCGGTCTGTTTATCATGTCACGGTGCTGGGTGTTGTAACCCATTTTCTACTGTTATAGCGTTTATTGAGACTCTTACTTGGAATAAACCCCACCATTGCAAAGCCCCTGGGAGTTATTCTGTAGAGGCTGTGCATTTTTTTTCTGGATTTGCTCACAGTAGTCAATCTAGATATAGTGAGATGCTCAGGCAGATTTCCAAGCCTTTAAACTTTTGAGGTTTAAAGAGTATTTACTTCAGCTACTGAAATGCCTCCTGAAACACGTGACGATTATACCCAAACCCAAATAATTAAAACGGCCGGACCTAGGCATCTCACTTCCTTAGATATCCATACCTTCCCTAACCATCTGTGCCGTTTCCCTGAGAGCAGCTGCTTAGCTTTCTTAGCCACTATGAGGATTGTCATCACTTTCTCATTAAAGAGAGAGGGAGGGAGGGAGGGAGAGAGAGAGAGAGAGAGAGAAACAGGCTCCCTACTGAGGATTGAGCCTGGCACGGGCCCTGACTGGGAATTGAATGGGCCACCTCTCGGAGCATGGGGCGACACGCAGTCATCTAAGCCACACCAATCATTGAGCCTGGCACGGGCCCTGACTGGGAATTGAACGGGCCACCTCTCAGAGCATGGGGCGACACACAGTCATCTAAGCCACACCAATCATATTTACTCCTTTTGGGAATATTGCCAAACTAGCTGTATCAGTAACTTCGGCCAAGGAGGGAGTAGGAAGGGCCATGATGTGGATTGGGTGAGGTGAGAGAATATTGCCTTTTTTTTAAAAAAATAAGTATTTTGGCCCTGGCTGGTTTGCTCAGTGGATAGAGCATCAGCCTGCAGAGTGAAGGGTCCTGGGTTTGATTCCCAGTGAGGGGGACAAGCCCTGGTTGTGGGCTTGATCCCTAGTAGGAGTGTGCAGGAGGCAGCCAATCAATGATTCTCTCTTATCATTATTGATGTTTCTATCTCTTTCTCCCTTTCCCTTCCTCTCTGAAATCAATAAAAAACATGTAAAAAAATAAAATAAAAAAATTTTACCTCTCTGAAATCAATAAAAACATGTAAAAAAATAAAATAAAAAATTTTTTAAAAGTATTTTGACAGTTTCAGTTTCTGAAATATTCCCTCATTAATGACTAATGTTCTGATTTTCTAGCTAATCTCTCTGACTCTGGGAAACTGTATGAACTATTCCTGATTCTCCCTTTAGCCTCCCTTAAAGATTCTGCTGTTTTCCTGACTCTACAGCGGCCTTCTTATTCTGAAACTAAAGAGAAGGACCTGAGATATCTCAGGATGTCTCTCGCCAGCTCCCCAGCCCGCACAGATGGAGATCTGTGCTCAGAAATTTGCCAGGAGAGTTATTTACACTGCCCTACTCTGAGCAGCTCTGTGCTTGTCATCATTTCTTTTATTAGAAATGTCTAATTTAAAATTTCTGCTTTCACTTTCTCTGTCGTCCTCTGTACCTTTCATGTGTTTGAAAACCACCACACTTTGGTTTTCTCTATATGTTTAGTTTCTCTGCAATTAATGCCTTGTGCATGAGTTAACTCATCTGTAAAATGGGCATAATAGTAGTCTTTTCTTTATAAAGATATTACATATGTGTCCTTAACCCCCCCCAGTGCCCCCCCCCACCCCAATAGTAGTCTTTACTACATCAAAATCATGTTGGTGACCAAGGAGCATGCGTGTAAGTGCTTTTAGAAAGCAACAAAGACTCAGTTATGAAAGGTGCTACTTGTAATGGATTCCAATGGAATGAAAAAACAGCAAAAAATGTCCTTTATTTCAAGCAGTCTTTGATTAAAACCCATGGTGCAACCCTGGCCGGGCGGCTCATTTGGTGGAGCCTCATGCCGTACACTGAAATATTTGGGGCTTAATTCCCAGTCAGAGCATGTACTAGGTTGTGGGTTTCGTCTCTGGTCGGGGCACTTGCAAGAGGCAACCAATCGATGCCCTCCCACCCCTCAAAAATCAGTAAGAACCTACCCTCAGGTGAGGATTAAACAAAACAAAACAAAAAGTAGCCATGGTGCAGTGGAAATGTTCTATCGCTTATAACGGGATTTGCCATGTATCTTTTCCTCCTTTTTTGAAGCTTGGATTATGCTGTGGATCTTCTTTGCGTTGTCCATGGATGTCCTTGAATGTTGTGGGAACCTGGGAAGGGCCCAGAGTGCTCAGAGCTTCCCCCTGCACCTCCATGTGACTCGGTCAGTCTTCCCCGTGGGATGGATGGAGGCCTTTGGACTTCCCTTGCCATCATCGTAGACTTGGGGAACAGGCTGTGGGCAGCTGATGTCTTTGTTCTAGACCCAGAGCCTCACCCTAGCCGGTTTGGCTCCGTGGATAGAGCCTCAGCCTGGGGACTGAAGGGTCCTGGGTTCGATTCCAATCAAGGGCACACACCTGGGTTGTGGGCTCGATCCCCAGAAGGGGACATGCAGGAGGCAGCCGATCAATGATTCCTTCTCATTGGTGTCTCTCTCTCTCTCCCCTTCCTCTCTGAAATCAATAAAAATATATTTTTTAAAAAGTTTTTAAAAAATGAAAATAAAAAATAAACCCAGAGCCTTGGACTCCCGGGAGATCCCACTTAGAAGTGCTGTCCTGGCCAAGCCGCCCTCTGCTGTGCCTGATGCTTCTCATTCCTGTGTTGGTAGCGGGCTGTGCAGCTGCCGCCCTGCTTTTTCCAGGGTCCTCAGAGCCCTTCTTTCCTGTTCTAGGGACACGGACAAAATGATCCCAAGGGCATCGGCGGTCAGTCTCAGGGCGGTGGTTGGAGCCGTGAACCGGCTGTGTCAGAGGCTTGGCCTAAGTGTACATGAACCTGTCAGAGCAGAATCCCAGGGTCACCTGCCGAAGAGAGGTGACACTGGAAATTCAGTGCCTGCTCCCTCTCCCCTTGGGAAGTCTAAAGGAACGTGTTGTTTAAACTCGGGATGGTAAAACCAAGTGGGTGTGGTTTAGGCAAGGCTGCATCTGCCCTGGGTGAGAGGAGTCCGATTCGGGGCCAGTGGCTCAACCCCTGAGCTGTTGCCAGCTATACAGTGAGAAATAAACCCACCAAATATTGCCTCAAGCACTCTGCCAGCTCCTGTGTGTGCCCACCAATTACCGAGGACCAGAGAAGATAGGGTGGGCGTGTGGCTGGTGAGAGGAGAGGGAGGGGGCC